TCCCGAGAGGCTCGAAGCTGGCCTCCTCCGGGCCGCCACCGGCACGTGCAGAAACCTCACGGTGATCAGGGCAGGACCGCCGGGGGCCTGCACCCTGAATCGCAAGGCGTGCAGAAGTTGGCCGTGTTCTGGCCTTGGCCTCGCTGGTTCCCTGGGTGGGCTTTGGAGGTTGGCAGCCCTCTCCGTAGAAGGGCGTGGGGTGGGGTTTGGGGGTCAGGATCCCCCCCCCCCGTATGATGCCTCCTCCAGAGCTTGGAGCATGCCCACTGGTCATCAAGCTCACAATCCTCTCTGGCCTGAAATGAAAGTCTTAAAATCTCTGTACCTTCTAGAAGCCTGGCTCCCACCCTGTGGGGCAGGGGGAAGGGGGAGGGGAGGAGGCTGGGGCACAGGGAGCTGGACCTGAGAACCGTCTATTTTTAGCCGGCCTGGCCTGCCCGGCCAACAGCAGAGGGGTGTTTGGCTGTAGGGCTCAGGAGTGTTTACGTGGGCATCTGCCTGGCAGTCCTGGACACGATGGGCCTGCTGGGGGCAACCCCCTAGTTTGAGTTTCTACCACTAATAAATGCTCCTAGTTTGAGTTTCTACCCCCTAGTTTGAGTTTCTACCACTAATAAATGCTCCCCACAAAGGACCCTCTCCACATTTGGGTGTGCTGAGCTCACCTTGCAGCCAGGCCCCTGAGAGCCTGTGTCTCACAGTACGTTCCAGTACCAGCCCCACCACTGGCTGGGCACGTGACCATGAACCAGCCATTTCCTTTCCATTTTCTCACCCATATCTCTGGGTTAATAAGAATCCTCCCACATGGTTGCGAGGAGGGCACGCTTGTAAGGTGCATCGCAAGTGTCTCCAAATGGCAGCTGTCATTCTTACCTCACTTTACGGGCGAGGAAAGGGACAGTGGAGTGACAAGTTAACGATGGAGCTGGGGAGTCACACAGCCAGACCCTCAGATTCTGCAGATTCCCAGTGCCTGTGTCTCACAGTTTGTTCCCGTGTAGAGGCTGTCGTCTCACGGTGTCACCACCGCCCCCCTCACCCACTGGGCGCATGAGGAAAGGAGGGTCGTGGCTTCCAACAGTGTTGAACTGGAGTCCTAGAGAGCTGAGCCCTTGGACAGGGAGGCAGAAATGCTAAGGTTCTGCTAGGGTGAGTCCATTTACTCTCTACGTGGATGGGGAAGTAAGAATACAGCTCATGTGACGCTCTTGGGGTCTCGGAGGTTGCTGAGGCAGCCCTCAGGTCCCAGAGTGTCCCCAGCTGACCTGGAGCAGTGTTGCCTAGCTTCTTTGAGGGCCAACCGTCCGAGGTGCAGAAACCAGCTGAATTCCCTTTCCTGACACTTGCATTCCCACCCGCCACCCTTTTTTTGTTTTCTTTCTTTTTTTTTATTACAAAGATGTGGAGTACAAGTCAGGGTCAGGTATACAAACGATGATTATGCAGGTACCCTTGTTGATGAGGTATGCCCCTCCCTCCCCTAGCAGTTTCCTTCAACTGCCAATCCAAGACCCCTTCCCTGGACAGTTTCCCATTACTGCCAAACGCTTTCTTTCTTTCTTTTTTTTTTTGCATTGGAGTCTCACTCTGTCACCCAGACTGGAGTGCAGTGGCCGCTCCCGGCCACCGCAGCCTCGACCTACTGGGTTCCGGCGATCCTTCCGCCTCAGCCTGCCAAGTAGCCGGAACTACAGGCATGCGCTACCACGCCCGGCTGATTTTTTTTGTTGTTGTTGTTGTGTGTTTTTTAATGATGGCCATTCTTACAGGGGTTAGGTGGTTTCGATTTCCACTTCCCTGATGATGAGTGAACACTTTTTCAGGTGTCTGTTGGCTGCCTGTATGTCTTCTTCTGGGAAGTGTCTATTCATGTCTTTTGCCCAATTTTTAATGGCATCCCCACTCTTACTCCTCTGTGGGAAAGGGTCACTCCTAGGAGCTGACTCACACTCTGCCCCCTCCCAGAGCTGTCCCAGAGGAGGAGAGGCTGACCCGGAGTGTGCCAGCCAGGGGTCTGGGAAGGACGTGTGGGAGCCTCCTGTCTCTCTGCTGCTGGGAGCAGGGCCTCTCCTTCTCAGCCCTGTTGGCATTCTGGCCCAGACAATTCTTCGTGCTGAGAACTGTCCTGCGCATTGTGGGACATGTAGTCGTATCTCTGCCCTCTACCTGCTTGAGGGCGTGAGTATCCACGTTCCAGTCGTGACAACCTAGAGTACCTCCAGATGGTGACCTATGCTTCCTGGGGACAGAACTGCACCGAGGACACTTGTGTGGAGCCATCTCTCGCACTAGGGGTCCCCTTGGCTGCTCTGGAAGGTGCTGGTGCCTGGGGTCCCCATGACTGGGCCCACGCCCCGGAAGCTCCCTTCACAGCTGCCAGTCCAATGGCTCAGCTTCTGGGGCCTGCAGAGCTACCCCCACTGGGAGTATGAGCAGAAGGAAGGATGCACTTCTCCGTGCCCACTCCATTTCCACCTTGGCCTTGGTTGACCTGGATGTCTCCCCGTCCCCACTGCCTGCTCTTGGACTGAGAGGAAGTCATCATGAGGAAGGTGATGGGGGTGAGGCTAATGGGTGTATCAGGAAGGAGGAGAGGAAGCAGGAGAGAAGGCTAAGGTCACTGAGATATCACTCCGACAGAGGCACTATCCCTTCTGCCCATATCTGCCGGCCCCCGCCAGCTGCTCCCACAACCAACCTGCCATTTTGTGAACCCATCTTTCCCTGTTTCACCGCCACACCCGTGCTGCGATAAGGCCATGACATCCATGCTTCAAACACTCTCTGCTCGCCCTTAATCCTGCCATCCTCTTGAATGACATGAGATTCAAGGGTCTCTGTATTCTGACCTAAATAATCATTTGGCATCTGATGAGCCAGGGGTACCTCCGATCTTGGGCAAAACTTTAATCACAATGAGTTGGAAACTTCAGAATACCAAAAGACAAAGAGAAGAAGTCCAAATAGCTGTGTTGTTGCCTTTATCGTCTGTCAAATCGAACACTCAGACTCATCTAGCTGTCACCCATGCTGCATCTACCCTTTTGCTCAGAGGTGGGATTTGTCGATTGTCCGAGTGGTCCTGGGCCCTGAGCTGGCTCTGTTGTCTTGGAGATGAAGAATGTTCCACGGGAAAGTGATTGCTCCTGGGGGTCGAGGCCCTCGCCAAAGAGAGGTGTATTCTGACCGCCATCGTTTTTCCTCAGAAGCATCAGTTCTTTGGGGACTTTTGGCCTTAACTGTTTTACTTCTCTTGTGATCCCAAGAGGCAAGTCCTTCTCTTCCCTATAGAGAGAATCATAGGCAAGTCAATGCAAGAAAGACTTTTGGCAGGGAGTTTTCTCCAGGGATGCAGTGGGGTAGGGGTCTTGGAGGGGGGTAACTTGGTGCGGAGCAGCAGGCTGAGTTCCAGCCTCCTAATTCCAGCAGCTTCCCTGAGATGGGCAGCTCCTTACATGGGAGATCAGGCACCTTTTCCAGAAGTCTTCCCATAGCTGGTGCAGCTTCTCCAGGCCTTTCAGCCTGACTTAGCTTGCTCCTACTTCTGAGCTTTTGTGACTGCTACTTCTGCCTGGGCTTGCCTGGCAGGGACAGTGCGGCCATCCTTCAAGGCCTGTCACCAGCCTTCGCCTCTAGCTTTCCTGGCTACCTCAGAGCTTGGAGCTCCTGGGGAATGCCAAGTCTCCGTGGCACTTCTCTTTTATAATTCCCATGGCTAACGGGACTTGGAAGATCACACTCACTCTGTCCCACACCCACCCAATCTGGAAAAGACGTCAAGCAGCTGTGCCAGGCACATGTATGTTTTGAGACACCACCTTCTCGCAGGGTAACACTGAACAATGCACGTAACCTCTCTGAACTCCCATTTTTCCCATCTGTCAGGTGGACGAGGGTGTTGCTGGGATTGTATAAGATAAAGTACTGAGTGATGGCCGGGTTAGAGCTACGGAAGATTCCTGCATTCCAGCCAGACCCCTGTCCGGGTCCTGCTCTGGGGAGGGACCCATGGACGTGGTTCTACAGTTGAGAAGTGGGTAGTGGGTAGAAGAAACGAAAGTCACCCCCTGCTCCCTCCCCCCGCCATGGAGCAGGAATTTGCCTGTACTACCGTCCTGCCATCGTAGGGAAACTCAGTGGGTTCACAGATCTCTTCCTTGAAAAGCTGGCGTCAGGTCTGTCAGCCGCAGCCCCCATGGGAGGAGCCAAGCTCAACACAACTCCGCCTCCCTCACCCCTGCCGTGCTCATGAGCACTCCATGTGTGTCCAGTGGGATGTGCCTTTGCATCATGTTCATTTTATAGAATGAGAAAACTGAGGCTTAGAGACCTAAGGGGACCTGCCAAGGTCCTACAAAGTGTCTTCAGGTAGCAGGAGGCACCCAACCCTTGGCATTCCACCCCGCTCTGTATGTTCCAAAGCGCTTGTGCTGGACTTACCCACACTCCCCGCCGCCCCTACACCCAACCCGTATGGCCACAGTATGCTGGTGAGTTGAGGCTGCTTGTTGCCCATTCCGAGGGGAAGGGCCGCTGTCAGCCTGCACGAGAACTACTCCAGCAATCAGGATCAACGCACCTTGGCCGAGGGGCTCAAGGCTTCTACGGAGGCTCTTGGAAAAATTCTCTGAGCTCAAGCTCTGAGTCGGGCCCTTGGGGACAGATTCCCCAGGCTCTGTGCCTTCCGTAGGAGAAATGGGGACAGTGGCAGTTGTCAAAAGCTGGTGGCTAGGAGCACCCAACAGTCTTCAGGAGCAGCGAGGTGGCCCTGCCAGGGATGGAGAGGGAGACAGAAGACGGACGGTTTTGCAGCCACTGAAAGGAATTTTGTGTTGCAACAGCTCCGTATGTTCTGAGGGCAAATGGTTACGCTGTAAAGAGGCCTTTCCATCTCTGCTCAGTTTGCCGTGAACAAGCTGTCCAGGACAGGCAGCAGCTTGCTCTTGAGACCCCGTTTCGTGCAACACCATAGGATGAAAAATGAGCACGGGGAGAGGCACTTGTCCTGGAGATGGGGCCCCGCAAGGGCCACCGGAGGGAGGCAGTTTCACTTGAAATGGTGTCCTTGGGCATGAGTGAGTAGGAGAGAGGCCTGGAGCCTTCCCGGCAGAGGAGGAGACTGGACGAAGGGGGAGGAACTGCAAGGAGTGCTGGGGGTGAGAGAGAAAACGGCATGTTTCAGGAGGTAAAAGCAAGGCGGCCTAGTTGGCGAAATGGTGTGGGGACAAGAGGTCCAAGGGGACAGAAGCACCCTCAGGGCCGATCTGCCATGGGCGGGGTGTCTGCTGGCCATCTGAGCAGCCATGCGGGTCCTTGTCAGCAGGGACGGGAGAGCAGGATGCATTCACAGATGGCAGGTGCAGGGCTGGTGGTCACTGTGGGCGTGATCGAACCCATGGGTATCGATGCCAGCCTTCTGGAGAAGATGGTAGGCAAGTCGGTGATGGTATGAAGGGACAACCAAGCACCAGATGCAGGCACTATGTAAGAAAAGGAGGATCTAGGCGGCCAGGTAGAGCACCAGATGAGTGGGAACCGGGCTTGGGTGGAGAGGGAGGTAGGGGGACACAGAGCCCCCACCCCAGCTGAAGGATCCGGCCTCAACTCAGTCCTCAGTCTCAGGGGAGCACTCTGGGTGAGCTGGGTCATGGAGTCCCACAGGACACCAGGAGGCAAGCTGCTCTGCCAGAATCTGCTCATTACGACAATTTAGATAATGCAAGAACTATGTAAAGACAGACACAAAACCACCTGAATCCCATCATCTCGAGATAATCACTTTTAAACGCTTCCTTATTTAGTATTTTCTTCCATCACGGCCACATCAGATATATAATAAGTGAATATTTATTTTATATGCATGAGATAAAAATGAATATTTTTATTTAAAAAATATAATTGGGATCACATCCTCTCCAGTTTGGTACCATGATTTTTTTTTTCTCTCAGCTCATGGAATGAATAGTTTACTGAGAACTCTTCAAAATTCAAATGAAAAGGCTGCCTAGTCACCCGTGATACTGACATGCCAAAATCTACTTTTCTATTTTCTCATTGTTGGGCTTTCAGTTTGTTTTGCATCGCCCACTTTTATAAATAATGTGATGATAAATACCTTTGACTACATATCTGGTTATTTCCTTAGAATAGATTCTTGGAAGTGGGATTACTGAGTCAAAGGTTACGACTATTTTAAGGCCTGAGATATATATAAAATGTCAAATTACTTTCCAGAAAGATTGTACTTATTTCCACTCCCTGGCTGTGCATGTCAGCCTCCCAGAGGCCATCACAAGCATCGAAATCGATCGCCACATCCCCCTTTGCTGTGACAATCGAGACATGGGAACCTGTCCTCCTTTTCGTTTTTCTTGCCATTAACATTGAACAAGGTTTTAGACATAGATTTACCTATGCACAGGCAGGTGTGTGTGTGTGTGTGTGTGTGTGTGTGTGTGTGTGTCTGTGTGTGTGTGTGTGTGTGTGTGTGTTTTGGTTCATATTCTTCGTTCTTTTCTCTACTTTAATAGCACAAATATTTAAATGTTAGTAGGAGAAAAGGGCTCTCTCCCAAACCATCTCAGATCTGTTGTCTTTCATAGCAAAGTCCGTGGCAAGGTCATGGCCATAGCTCTGACCCCTTGAAGCTCTTTGAGGACCAGGTCGTCGTCTCACTTATTCCTGAACTTCCTCTCCCACCCCCCACACTGTCTTTGTGTGCTGCACACAAGAAGTACTCAATAAATGTTGAATTAAATTGGACACAATTAACGCTGCCAGCAAGCCGAGACTTCTCTCTTTAGCCTGGGGGTAGAACTGAGCCTTCCAGAGATGTAGAGTATTTGCTCTTCTGTGTCTTTCTCACAGACCTCAGGGAACGGAGGAGGGTGAGGTTAGCTGAGGACAAGCTGCTCTCTGCGTTGACAGAACCATCTGGAGCCTGAATCTGGGAGAGCTTGGTCCTGAGACAGCGCTGCTCAGTCCCATGCAGCCATCACCCCTGTCCCCACCCTGATCGGGGTGCCCTCACCCCGCCCCCACCCACAAGCCGTGATTCATTCTGTTAAAAACAATCTCCATTCTCAACCTTTCTGGTCTCTCTCTCCCCGATCACCCCGTCAGCCATTCCCTGTCTCAAGTATTTCTGTCCCTGGCACCTTAACTGACTTTCCATATTTTTCTGTCCACAGCTCATTAAAATCCCATCTTCCTGCATATGGTGATGCTGGAAGTGTTGCCTTCTGGGTTCCAGGTACTTTTTATTTCAGAGTCTTTCTACTCGACGGCATTCTTGGCCTTTTGCTGGGGAGGGAGATGATGAAAATCAATTTGTCTCTCACCACCACTTCCAAAATATCTTGGGCAATGCCAAGAGAGGTATCCAGTGGCACACGCAAGCCCATGGAGAGATTACCTCTTCGGCCTCGCCAAGTGTTTATTACCAGGCCATCACCGAGCCCCCTGCGAGCTCCTTGTCCGCCTGTCTCTACAATGTGAACAAGAAGTCCTCTGCGGGTCCTGCTTCAGAGTCTCCCCCTACCAGGGACCCTCCTTCTCTACAGATTTCTGCCTCTTCACCTCCGCAAACTCGTGTCTTTTTCACAATAGCCCAAGGCTGAGCTGATACCTTTATGCCCATTTTTTGGGCGGAGAAACAAAAGACCTAGAAATCGGTTCACATGGCTTTTCCAGTGACTTCTGGATGGGAAGTGCTCCCACCAAGCCCAAGGCACCTGCCGTTCTGGATGTTTCAGTGAAAACTTGTCCTTTCCGGAAGCAAGCTGAGATGTGGGATGGCCACTCACAGGACTGGGGCAGTGTTCCCAGTGGCAAGAGCCCCCTGGGAGAGCCCCTCTCTGGTGGTGTGAGGTTGTCTGATCAAGTGGGAGGAAGGACACAGAAAGAGGTTTTAGAGGGTCTGAACAAAACTTCCAGTGAACTAAACAGCCTTTGGCCATGACCGTAGACCTCCAGGGGCCTGTTGAGAGGATGTGGGTGCTTTTCTGTCCCAAGCAGGATGGGCCCAATGGCCTGGATCCCAGGGGGCACGAGGCAACCAGTTTTTAGTGTCAGTGCAGACTCTACCCCTGCCTGTCCCCAGGGCAGAGTTTCTAATAGGAGCCGCGGGTATTTTTAGCCTCACATGTGCAGGCACAGGACACGGCGAGCTGGACAGGAACAGCTAATAAGCCATGGCCCTTATTAAGTTGGGAAGGATGAAATGAGGGGAGGAGAGGGAGCCTGGTGGAACTTTTCATAGGCCTCATTTTCAGAGGACTCTCTTTCCATAATTCACAGAGAAAGATTGAGGTCAGGGTGATTATGCACAGCTCCAGTGGCAGGAACCGGAAAGTGGGGCATGTTCACGTCCTGTGGCCTGCAAGTCCAGTCCCCCTCTGCCCCCAGCCCCCAACTCTGCCCTCTGGGCAAGGAGGTTGGGCCTTGGAGATGTGCAGCTTGGGAATGGGTTTGTTAAGCTACAGGGATGGGAGTGGGGATTGGGGTTCTTCCGAAGGCAAGGTTAGAAGCCATTTCCCAATATGCTCCTTGAAGCCGTGGGGATAGCTGATGGGTGTCAACCAATGATGGGTTCACAGATGAGGAAAGAGTGGCTCAGAGAGGAGCAGGAACTTGGGAAGTGACACAGCCAGGATTCATACTCAGTGTCCTAGACCAAGGCATACCATTATTTCCTCCCAGTGACAGTCAGTTGTGTTTAAGACTCATTATTCATTTTACTTCACCCACAGACATTTTTTTCTCTGCCAACTCTGAGTCTGGAGCTCCATCCCTAGAAGGGGACATGAGGACGACACCCTTCCTGCTCTCCAGAAGCCCTCTGCTTAGTGAGGGACACAGAGGAGACTCCCAGCTGAACTCAGTGAGGTCAGTAGGCAAGCTTACCATGTGGGAGACCCTGGCAGGTTTCCAACCTTTGACATTGAGCGTGAGGACAGTCAAAGCCTTACTAGTGCAGTCAGTTCTCCTTCTGGATGGCTTCTTCTGAGGGGGAGACTGGGATAGGACCAGAGAGGGCAGTGTGCCCTCAGCCCTCTCCTGGGCTCTGTGGCTCGAAGCATTGCCAAGTTTGGAGTCTGTGGCAGGAGTCCCTTAGTGAGCGGGCGGATAAAGCTGGAATGGAGGTGGCACCCGGGACCTGCTATGGTCAACTGCTCTCTCCCTCACCACCCCAAGCTGGATGGTTTAAGGCCAGTGGCAGAGAAAATGAAGACATTGATTTGCGGTGAAGGCACTGCAGTGAGTTCGTTGCAGCCTTCCTGCCTCAGCCCAAAGCCAACCATGACATGTGCCTCTGTCCATCTGCTTATCCATCCACCATTCCATCCTCTCCTACACAGAGCACCACGCCTTTGCATCCAGCCCCTCTGTACACCTTCCTTTCACGCTGTCACCCACCCCATGTAGCTATCCCTTCCATCGCTCTCCAGACATCACTCTGCAATCCATCTGGCGACCCCGCCATCTTTTCCACCTAACCTGCTCCAACCATCCAAC